TTTCCTTCCAGATTCCCCAGGCAATACAGCAAATCCCCCTGTGCCCCTGATGCTGTTGCAGCTTAATCAGAACCATGGGAAAAGATGAGACACTTGTTGGGAAACAAAAGACAGGAAAAGGACTGTTTCTCTGAACTGTGAATTTTAGGAGAGAAGGGATTTTTTTTAAAACCAAGTCCATAGCAGCCTTTTGATTGCCCAGAGTGAACATTTCTCTGATCCATCATTTTTGAATGACTGGGGGTGGCAACACAAAGCTATTTTCTCCCCCTGGCTTACCTGCACCTCCCACATGTATGAACCATGGAAGAACTTTCTGAAATATTATCTACTTTCCCCCTCACCTGTGTGACTTGTGGGACACTGTGCATTTCACTGAGCTTAGGCAGTAATGCTAGGCTGGCCACTTTCACTTCCCAGTTCTTGTACCAGCAAAATGTTTGGGCATCCAGTCCTGACAGGGAGACTTCCAATATGGTGAAAGTGAAGAAATGGATGGCACACATTTATTTAGGTGAGAGGTGGTTAAACCGTCTGCCTTCCTTTTCTCCCATCACTTTTAATTAGCAAAGCCAAAACTTGGGGCCTACCTTACTTGATGGGCTCTTCTAAAGAGCATGGACTTTGCTGGCAGCAAAAGGAAACATCAGATAGATCACTCTTTAGCTTTCTCACAGTGTGAAAGAGCCCTCTCCTAGGGACATATTATCCACTCAATGTGCTGGGAGGAGACAGGGCCTGGCTCCTGTCCTATTTCACTCATAACATCAGGTTATGTGGGGAAAGCCTGCTGTCAAGCATCTCACTGAAAACAAACCCCAGGCCTTGGGAGACAGTGATGAGTGGAACAGGGAAGGAAAAAAATCCAGCAAGGTTGTGCTGGTTCATAGCTCACCTGTCCATCCCCCTGGTCCCAGCAGGCACCTATCCACACCAGAGGGGAATGCTCTGCTCTGCGCTGTGGGGATGGGAAGAGTCTCCAGATTGTTCTGCTCTCCCTGCCCTTCCAAAAGGGAGAGCAAAATCACCTGCGAGATACCTTCTGGGCTGTGCAGAGAGAAGGATCAGTCTCAAGAAAAGCCTTAGCCTGCTTGGCTCAGGGGTCATGGCTTCTTGTTTTGATCCTTCCCCTTCCCCCAGGCTTTGTCTCCTCAGGGCTGAATGGTAAGAAGCAAGGAAGAAACAAAAGCTGCAGAGTCCCTGGGGTCAGGTCTTTGTATAACAACATCCCAGAAAGACTCAGGAACTCTGGGGCCGGAGGGGAGAGGTCTGAAGAGACAGGACACATCTGCCCCTACCAGTAGTGTCATTGGGGAGGAGGCAACTACTCTAGCTAGGCAATGGAAGAGAAGTAACAGGATTAAGATACAACAGGGACAATTCTGGTGAGATTGTGAGGAAGCATACTAACTAGCATGAGAGGAGCAGACAGGGCAACTGAATGAGCTGTCAGAGGAATCACCAGCACCAGCGCAGGCAAGGTTGAGATCAGATACCAGCCTGCAAAAAAGAGTGGGGGCTGGGCCAGTTAAGATAATGGTACCAAGCCTGGGGGGCTTTAAGGTATTGGGGTCCTACCGCATCAAGGACAGAGGAAATACTAGTGTGATGGCTACAGAGCATAGAGCATGAGATGCTTTGGGCTGAATTCTAATACTGTGGAGAAAGAAACCATCTCTACTTTGTTGCCTTGGCAAGCTCCCCTCACCTCCCACCTATTAGGAATCCCACAGCCACTAGCCTCCCCATCCTTCACAGACACACACCCCAGCCCTGGCTATGGCCTCTGCTCCCACATCATTCCACCCCTCTCTAGGGCAGGATATGGCGATAGCTAGAAGGTAGTATACTGGACTCCAAGTTTAGGCCCCTGTTAAGCATTTGTCTGGCCTGGTTTAGATGGTAGCGAACCTTCCCTGAGCTACAAACTGGACCAGATAATCCCCCTGATGTCCCTTCCAGCTATGTTTTTCTATGATGGTGGGAATGGATGCTGTTGCCTGAGCCATCCCTGGAGGGGGCTAGATACCTTGCTGAAAGAAGGGGACCCAACTCCAATAAGTCCTGCATGCTGGATGGTTCCCTTGAATACACCTCCCTGCATTAACCAGCATTGAGTGGCCTCAGGAGGATCTCAGCCAGAACAAAGGGATACCTAAGGCCAGGAGACAGGGCGCGATAACCCTGAGTGCTGTCCCTGGAGAGCTACTTTGTGCCCCTAGGACACAGCTTGGGTAAGAGTCAGCATGTTGGGGAAGCCGCTGGATCTTGCAGGGATTAATCAGCTGCTGCATTTGTCCAATCCCACTATTTCCTCGTCTCATCCCCGGAGGAGGGTGCTTGTCTGTGCCATGGTAAGAATCACACTTATCTGGCTGGGAAGGGGTATCTTAATTCAACCGGACAGCTGAGCCTATTAAGGGGATAACCACAGGAGAGCAGCATGCTGGCATTCGCAGGCAGCTGGGGCTGCAGAGTCAAGCTGGGTAGGAGCTATTTCCTTGCACATATGCACAGAAGCTGAGCCTGTCTTTGTGGCATCAGCCTGAGATGCCAAGAGCTCCTCCCTTCTGGGGCTGCACAAACCACCCCCGTGCTGATAGGGCCTGCCCCCCACCCAACTGCATGGTGCAAACACACTGGAGTGAAGGGCAACTCATGGCCAACCCCAGGAGCAATCAAGGAAAGGAGATATAGGGCTGCTAAGTGGTCAGTGGCAGAGGCAGGGAGGCCTGTGCAAAAGTTCAATTTGGGGCTCCACAAGGGCTGGCACGCATGCAGCCTCTGAGTGGCTTGGGGTTCTGTTCAGTTGCAGGCTGCTCTAATGGCTATGCCCACCCAGCTTCCAAAGTAGGGCATGGGATGGGAAGGGAGGCTTTTCTGCCCACTCCAACCCAACTGAATGATGAACCCGTGCTGGTTGCTCAGGGGCAACCAGCACGGGTTCATCAGCGGCAGGTCATGTCAGACCAACCTGGTGGCCTTCTACGATCAGGTCACTAAATCATTGGATGCAGGGGTAGCAGTGGATATAGTCTTCCTGGACTTCCGGAAGGCTTTCGACACTGTCTCTCACCCCGTTCTCATTAGGAAACTGGGGGACTGTGGCGTAGACACCCACACAGTCTAATGGGTCGCCAACTGGCTAGAGCGCCGCACCCAGAGGGTGGTAGTGGGTGGGTCCTTCTCGGCCTGGAAGGACGTGGGCAGTGGGGTCCCGCAGGGCTCGGTCCTCGGGCCCGCCCTGTTCAACATCTTCATCAGTGATTTGGATGAGGGGGTGCAAAACACCCTGTTCAAATTTGCTGATGACACCAAGATGTGGGGGGATGTGGGCACAATAGAAGGGAGCAACAGGCTACAGTCAGACCTCGACAGGTTACAAGGATGGGCGGAGGAGAACAGGATGGGGTTCAACACAGACAAGTGCAAGGTGATGCACCTGGGGAGGAACAACCGGCACCATACCTAAAGGCTGGGGAACTCCCCTCTTGTTAGCACGGAGGTGGAAAAGGATCTCGGAGTCATTATTGACTCCAAGATGAACATGGCTCAGCAGTGTGGGGAGGTGGCTAGGAAGGCCAACTGTACCTTGTCGTGCATCCACAGATGCATTTCAAGCAGGACCAAGGAGGTGATCCCCCCCCTCTATGCGGCACTGGTCAGGCCGCAGCTGGAGTACTGCGTCCAGTTCTGGGAGCCGCACTTTAAGAGGGATGTGGACAGCATCGAGAGGGTCCAGAGGAGGGCCACTCACATGATCAAGGGACAGCAGGGCAGGTCCTATGAGGAAAGGTTACGGGACCTGAACCTGTTCAGCCTCCAGAAGAGAAGGCTGAGGGGGGAATCTTGTGGCCTGCTATAAACTAGTCAGGGGGCAGCAACAGGCACTGGGGGAGTCCCTGTTCCCCCAAG